TAAGTTAGACATTTGCTCACAATATATAAGTGAGAGATGATTTTGTAAATGGACAAAATATATATGTGTAGTATAAGAAGGGATTGATTAGTTTGGAGATTTGGGAAGAAATGGGGGACCAAAGGAGGGAAGGATGGTGGGGGCGTAGAGAAGAAGAATAATTCGATTTGTAGTAAACTTCCGAATGAATGGAGCCAAAAAGCAGTTAAATTATTGTGGCTGTACATACTTTATTGCACAATTATGTATGTTTTTCTTCCTACGTATTTTCATTATTTTATACTGCTACATATAATATGTGGGATTAATTATTTTTAATAAAAGATAAAGGGACTACTTGGAATTGGACCACTCAAAGTCAGCTCCGAAAACGACATTTTTGTGTTTTTAATCCCCTTTTTACCAATTTCTTCTTCTTCAAAAAGGGGGGGTCTTTTTCGATCGCAGCAGCTAAAGCTTAAATCTGAAAAGTAGTACTGGGGATTGTATAATATCATTATGTAAGAATCAACAATTTGATGGTTAAAGTTTTATTGTTTTCTTCGAGATTTTCAAACCCTCGAGTTTCCATAAAAAGGTACATACTCATGTTGGAGTCTTGATGCAAACAAAAACACCAATATGTTGTTCAAAAATGACTACACATAATTAATTAAGAAGATCATCGAATATAATAACATAGTCTTTTTGTCCTAAAAGATTAATCTGTTTCTTTGTGTATGAATTCTTTTCGGGGAAGGATTTTTCCAGCCATAACCTTTTGTTTTTTCACCCACAAATTTTCAATTTTGATCATTTTGTCTCTGCCATTTGACTAAACCAAATTGAGAGAGAGAGTGAGGGGGAGGGGGGGAGAGAGAGAGAGAAAATAAGCCATTCGGACCGAATCGGACAAGTCAACCGGGCAAGATTTTAATGACCTAAAAACTAGATTAACTAATTACAAAAAAAAATATAAAAATTAAAAAAATAAAAATGAATTCGATTGCTATTTTTTTAATTTTTAGAATTTTTTAAATAACAAATATTACTTTTTTTAAACTACAAAAAAATAACAAAAAATCTAAAAATTAAAAAACTAGCAATGAATCCGATTGCTATTTCTTTTAATTTTTATATTTTTTATATAACAAATATTTTTATTTTTTTAATTACAAAAAAACAAAAAATCTAAAAATTTAAAAAAAGCAATGAATCCGATTGCTATTTCTTTTAATTTTTATATTTTTTTAAATAACAACTTGCTATTTTTTTAATTAGAAAAAATAAAAAAATAACAAAAACCTTAAAAATTAAAAAAATAGCAATGAATCCGATTGCTATTTATTTCAATTTTTATATTTTTTTAAATAAAAAATATTGCTATTTTTTAATTTAAAAAAATAACAAAAAATCTAAAAATTTAAAAGAATAGCAATGAATTCGATTGCTATTTATTTTAAAATTTTTAAATAAAAAATATTGCTATTTTTTTAATTACAAAAAAAATAAAAAAATAAGAAAACATCTAGAAATAAAAAAATAGGTCTGACCGGACCGGTTCACTATATCAAACCGAACCGGGACCAGCGATGCAATGAATCCGTCCCGAGTTGACCCGGGACGAGTGGACCGCCCGCCCACTTGTTTGCCCGAACGGGTTCATTGCCCGTCCCAAGTTAACTCGGGACGGATTCATTGCCCATTTACCCGACCGACCGTGCAATGAAATGGGCAATGAACCCGTTTCGACAAACAAGTGGGCAGGCGGCCCACCCGTCCTGGGTTAACTCGGGACGGTTTCATCGCACGGTCGGTCGTTTTTTTTTTCAGTTTTTAATATATATATATATTTTTAGTTTTCTCTCTAGTCAAGTTATTCGATTTGAAAAAAATGACAAGAGTAAAATGTTTCAAATTAAAAATTGTGGCTCAAAGAATTAAAGTTGGTGGTTTGAAAAAGTTGCACTTTTTTTTTTAACCAGCTATGGAGGAATCAACAGTGCGAATGCAGAACTTTTTGTTTCTGTACGTGATCGATGAGGAAGATTCCCGAAAGAATTAACTCATCATTAGCTTTGTTTTTTGTATCTGTATATGTACAAATTTTGAATGCTGGATGCATTCTTCGTGCAGCTGTTTGAACTAATTAAAGAACTCAATAAATGGATACTTCTTTGAATCCATTATGCATGAAATTGTACTTGTTTGGTTCATTTTAATATAGTTCACTTAATTGGATTAAAACAATGCTATTAACACGAGACGTGGAGTATTAAACAAAAATTAAAGTGATTAAGTACATTATATTAGCATTATTTTATCTATCAACCCGTGCGTTTTGTACTTTTCATGATCACTTTCTTACCTTGGATTCTGCCCGTTTAAACATTACAATCCAGCTTAAAAATATGATGAAAAGATAAATCTAATTTTAGTCAAACCCCCCAAAAGTTTTTTGCTACCAAAAAGATGTTTTTGCCCTATAACTATATAAGATGGATAGTTTACACAAACATCAATGGATATATAATATATGCAGGTTAGCGTAAAATGAAGAAAGTCTACCTACGACAACAACGTTACCGATAAAATTGTTGAAGCCAAAAAAAACACAAAAAATGCGATGAATTGTTAAAGAAATTAGCATAGACTAGATATGCAATTTTTCCCAAAGCCTATATATATATATATATATATATCCACTTTTTCGGCTAGTTAATTGTCAAGAAAGATGAACTACGCCCTATCCTTTGATTTTCTTTTCCACTGAAAGAATATAAAAATTCTCTTGAATTCAAATTAATCGAGACAATAATTCTAAAAGTAAAAAATATATAAAAAGTATACTAGTCCCGTATGCGATCTCTTTCATTGATGATTTCTAAAACCAACACCCGACGCACTTCAGACAAGATGAAGAGTTACATATACGGTAGACCTTACAAAATGGTGAAGGAGAATAGTATAACTTAGTTACTGTATTCCGGGCAAGTAGGACGAACTTAAAACGAAATTAAAGCTCATAAAAGTGCATGTTGCCTGCAGGCGACAGAGTTAGAAATCTCGCTAAGTATATACTACAAAAATACTTTCAAGGTAGAATTGTCTACTTAAGGTTGACAATTTTTTATGAGTTATTTATTCGTAGAAAGATTATTAAGGGGGCATAACTGCTTCTGCTTGTCCCTGACTCCTGTTAATTAAAAAACATCAGTAATACCAATACTTTAATGAGTACAAAGTTTTGATTTAATATTTCAAATGGTAACTAACCACTTTTATTTTATGGTAGATGTATATTCAATAAATTACGTAGTAATAAATATTATTTTTTTTAAAAAAATGGAATTCTTAATTTGGGGTGTGGATTATTAATTTTTGGTGGAGATTATTGTAATATATGGAGCCATTGATAAAGATCTTTATAATTTTAGGGAATCTTCCAAAGGCTCGTGTTTAACGTGAAACAAATGCAATGAGAGTAACATGTTAAATGGATCTCTCGATACCGTCTTAAGGTCTGGAACCCTTCAAGACAATCGTAAACTTGCGGGGTGCGTCGACATTAGGCTGATCAAGGCAGTTTGACACTTTGACCTATTTGGCAAATTAAAGATAACTTAGAATCATTGCGAATTCTCAATGTTATAATTGTTAAATTATTTTGGAACAAGGAACAACAACGATTTAGCAGAAGGTGATTTATTACACTTTCTTGGTTCTAAAATAAATTTTCAAATTTGAATATTTAATTTGAATATAAGTAAGCAAGACCATTATTTCAAAACGGAAAAAATACGAAAGAAAGAGAAAAAATCCATGGGAGCATACCATACATAATTGGAGAGGTCATGAGGAGCACAGGGCCATGCGTGCACAAAGTAGCACGTAAATAGTAGTATTTGCTGCTTCTTTCTTATTACCCTGAGATGAGTTGGGTCCCTCACTAGTCTGTACTGTATTTCTTTGCTGTGAGCTTGTGCAAAAATGAAAAACTGTCAAATTTTACACAGAAAGGAAAAAAAAAACAAAAAAAAAACCAACTGGACCCCACAGGGCATTGCTGGGCTAAGAGGAAAAGGCGTCACGGACGGGCTTTCTATCCATCCACGAAACACCCTCGGGAACACCAAAACTGTACTCTCCCAAACCACATTGGACCCCTCCTCCACCCTTCTCTTTGTAACTTCTTGACTCTTTGGTCCAACTTTTAATTATGCCGTAATCATTTTATTCCTGATCCATCAAAGACAAAAATAATTAAATTAAATATAAATACCAAAAAAGAACTCTATAAAGTCTTTCAACTTTATTTTCATTTTACATCTTTTATTGAGAAAAATGTATTTTACTAGTATTACTTTTTTGTTTACAAAGCTATCACACGTTTGCCAAAAGTGCGAGAGAATTACTCTCATCAATCAATCTCGTTTTGACCTTTTTGTATTTACATTATTTGTTTAATATTTAACTTTTTTATTTTCTTGGTTTTAGGTCCTATTTGTATTTAGTCCAAAAAGTTGCAATTGGACAGTCTACCCTGTGAAAGTGTCATTTTTTTATATGTACCATTTTCATTGTGAGCTTTTAATTTTGACTAGAGCTCAATTCCAGAGGGATAATGTAATTTCCATATACCAAAGTGTAAAAGGAATTTTAAGTGTCAGTTTCATTAGCTGTTACTATTAAGCATTTCCGTGTTACAACCAAAAAACCCGACACAATGACAACGCCAATTTGCATAAATGGTAAAAAAAAAAAATGCCCTTTTAAGTAACTGGTAATACTTCCAATTCCAGCATTTACTGATGCTGAAACATACCTTTTTTGGACGAGTTTAACTCATTCGGATATACTAGATGATAAATTGTTCTCCTATGTCATAAGATAATGAAATACTTACTGTCAAATTATCTCTTTGTTTTCTGAAACCGATATTCTTGAAATTGGACAGATTTTTTTTGATAAATAAATGGAGGAATTTGGCTCGAAATGAAAAAAAAAGAAAAAAGAAAAATAGGAAATGACACAGAGCTCTACACCATTCTGAAATTACAACAACTTACAACAAGCAGCAAACAGCCAACACAGCCGCTAACATGTTGCACCCTTCCTTACATATAACTATTTAAAAATATACTCCTACATACGTACTATTCCCAACTCTACCGATTTATATGTACTTTGATTGTGTATATTATATTTTTCATATAGATTGGTTTGGTGTGTGTGTGTGTGTGTTTTGAGGGGGGGTGGCCCACCAGCTCAATCTTTTGGCTGACCAAATTTGAAAAATATTGTGGGCAAGATAAAAACTTTAAAAAGATGGGGAGAAAGAAAGCTTTGTAACTTTAGTTGTAAGTTGTAAGACTACATACATACAGTAGAGAGAGAGAGAGAGAGAGAGGCAGAAAGGGAGAGGGATGTTAGATAAAGAGAGGAAATATTCTGTTTAGCTTTTCAAGTGTGTGTGTGTTTGTGTGTGTTTGTGTTTTTTGGTTGTTTTCTTCTGTAATCAAACAAAGGTCTTCGTTCCAAGTCCAACCCAAGTCCAGATCTCTCTCTGCAACCCAACAAAGAGAGTCTTCTCTTCTCATCTCATCCCCTCTCCCCAGATATTGTGCTTTTTTTAAAAAAAAAATAAATAAAGATTAATCCTTTTTTTTCTTTCATTTTGGAAGTGTTTGAATTGGGTTGTTTGTTGGTTTATTTGGACTTCTTCCCAAGTATAATCAATCTTTTGGCATAATCTGTGAGAGAACTATTAGCTAGCTACCTTCTAAAGAGCTGCTTCTGAATAATACCCCCAAAGTTTTCTTTTATCTGTTTGTATTTGGAGAAACTCTTTGCTTGTTCTTTCCCCTCTTTATTTTGTTCCTTTGCTCCGTTTTTGGGTTCTTCTTCAATTAAAAAAAAAAAAAAAGAAGCTTGTTTTTGTGTAACTAGCTAAGGGGTTTACTTCATATAAAACCACCACTTTTTTTTCTTTCTCCTGTGTTAGTCTTTTTTTGTTCCATATGTTAGTCATGTCTGGTAATGTCTTTACTACGACTGTCCCTTCTTCAGTCAATGGTTTTGCATCTCAGGAAGCTGATGCAAACCCTAATAATCTTCTTAAACCTGTCAACCCCTCAGCTGGCAAGAAGAAGAGAAATCTACCAGGAAATCCAGGTATTCCATCTGATGATAATTTTAATAATTGAAAAAAAAAAATAAAAAATTGGTTCTTTGGTGTCATCAAAGTTTTCAGTAAAGTTATCTGATTTTAATCGGGCATGCACCCTATCTTATTATAATAGAGTCTAGCTATTATAGCTGAAAAAGGTGGGGGTTGAAAGTGTTTTTGGATTCAACTTTTTAGTTGATTGATTTGGATTGTACGTTGCTGCTTTATTTCAGATCCAGATGCAGAAGTGATTGCTTTATCGCCAAAAACACTCATGGCGACTAACAGATTCATCTGTGAAATCTGCAACAAGGGATTCCAGAGGGACCAGAATCTGCAGCTTCACAGAAGAGGGCATAACCTTCCATGGAAGCTGAAGCAAAGGAACAAGCTGGAACCGGTGAAAAGGAAGGTTTACATCTGCCCGGAAAAGAGCTGCGTTCACCATGACCCTTCCCGGGCACTAGGCGATTTGACCGGGATTAAGAAGCATTTCAGCAGGAAGCACGGGGAGAAGAAGTGGAAGTGCGAAAAGTGTTCGAAGAAATACGCAGTTCAGTCTGATTGGAAAGCTCATTCTAAGACCTGTGGGACTCGCGAGTACAAATGTGACTGTGGCACACTCTTTTCCAGGTATATAAAAAAAAAAAAAAAATTAATTTTGAACATCAGTTCAATTAAAATTCTCTCTGTGTTTCATGAAAACTAATAAATTCAATGAGGAGGAATATTTGTCGGGTGGGAAATTAATGAATGCTACCTGATTGCCCAGGAATCTCATGTGGGTTGAATTAATTGCAGCCCAAATGATTATGAACTAAATGCTGTGTTTCATTATTCAATGATGATCATGAGACTTATAAAAAAATTACTAATTCTTTCTTCTCATTATCAACACACAGGAAAGACAGTTTTATCACCCACAGAGCTTTCTGTGATGCATTAGCCGAAGAAAGTGCAAGAGTAACTTGTGTGGGCACAAATAATCTCAACTTCAAAACTGAGCATCTGAATCCCAATCTGATGAACAATTTCGGTCACCCTGGGTTGACCGGAGGAGCTGGAATTCCCCAAATCGGAGTTGATTTTGGGAATCATCAGCTGAAGCCCAGGCTTTCATTATGGTTGGATCAGGCTAATAATTCTGGAACTCATGTAGTGGATATGTCTGGGAATTCAAATCTGTTCATGCCTTCATCAAATTCAACAGCAACAGGGATACATCATGATATCATGCAACTGTCAAACCCAAACAATATGTTCAGTTCTTCTCTATCCTTATCTTCATTTCCACCACCACCACCACAACACCAACAAGGCCTCGTTGGCGTCGGATTGAACTCGAAGGATGGAGGAATTAGTGATACCAAAGGAAGCGGAATGGCGGAAACCCTTCCTTCTTCTCTCTTCTCTAATAACAACTCCCAGTCATCAAAATCTTCTTCGGCACCGATGTCAGCCACTGCACTTCTTCAGAAAGCAGCTCAGATGGGCTCAACCCAAAGTAACCCCTCATTCTTCGGCACCAGTTTTGGGCTCATGAACTCTTCTTCTGCTTCCAGCCCACAAAACTTCAACGGTGGTAGTCTTCAGGTGTTTGGGAAACAGCCCGAACAAATCTTAACCGGGCCGGCAACAGCCGGTGGTGATGGTTTGATGGGAGGAGGAGGGTCGAACTTGACTTCGTCGGGAAGTTCCACATTAACAAATAGTAATAATAATAATCAGATGGATCAATCGCCGACGACGATGGTGCAAAAAACAGCAACTGAGAGTAGTACTAATAATACTCAGTCTGGTTCAACGTTGGGTTTTCACCCGGGTGGGTTCACCCGGGATTTTCTTGGAATGGGAGCTCCTGGAGATGGTAACATGGGTGGACGTCCTTTCTTGCCTCATGAACTAGCTAAGTTCGCTTCCATGAGTTCTGCTATGGGTTTAGGCCATTTTGGTTCCAGTACTTAAAATCTTCTCTCTTTTTGGTTTTTGATTCAATATGTAAAATACAGTGATCAGCAAAAAGCACCCTTTTAATTTCTTCCTTTTTAATCTTCATATGAATTATGAAACCCCTCGTTTCCCCCATAATGTTTTTTTTTTGCTTTGATTTTGTTTAGGATTAATGAAGTGAACAAGGTAATTGTTGAAGAAAGAAATGGTCGTAATTAGAACCAGAAAAATCATTACGACACATTTCGACAAATGACAATTTTTTTTACAGAGTCCAGTGGGAAGAGATCTTTGGGATTTGGGATTCAGCAAATTTTTTGGGCAAAGGGGAGAGATTGAAGCATCAATGCAAGCTGTTCGATGGTGCATTTTTTTTGTTTTTTGTCTGAGCGCCTGCGGATCCATCTGTGCCTCTTTGGTGGTACTGGTTTCGGAGCTTCGCTAGCTTTTTAGTCTTTATCCCTAACTCCGGTCGATCTTACCACGTTTTTTTCTTATGCATTTTGTGAAAAAAAAAATACGTAAAATAAAATTTGGCATTTTGGAGTTGAACGACACGGAATACTATGAAATCCGTTGACAACACGTCAAAGTAATCCACCCATCTCGTCAACGTTGGTGCGTGTAACAGTCATCTTTTACTACATTTTTTTTTAATTTTATTTTTTTTTATTACGATCATATTTCATTTCCTTAGTTTCCCAAATAAAGACCGGTTAATATCTGAATGCACGCTAATCCGGTTTCTTAAACAAACTTAGAAGGGGATATTGAGCAGGGAAAAAAATTCTTCAGAATAACAAACTTTAGTCTTATGTCGTCATTAAATTCCTTGAAAAGTCAGAGAAATCAAATGTAAAGAGTTGTTGAATGATGACATTCAAAGAATAATAAGGATAAATATATTATTAGTTGCGTATGTAATTAGTTAATTAGGAGGTGAGTCGCTTTCAATTCATGCATGTAACGGGAGATGGGATTTTTGCTACATTATTTTATACAATGTTAAAAAATTGAATTGATCAATTCATGCATGCATGAATTGCAAACCAATAAGGTACCCATCATTTTCCCATGGATTGATATCATCTTCTTATAATTGAATTTGCTGACGATTTGGTTCACCATATTCTCGACTATAGCAATTTGCTGGTATATATATGGTGGTTAACAACAAGAGAATACTACGTACTAACATTGATAAATTTTAACTAATCTATTATTTATAATTATAAAGTCTGGAAATTAAGAAACTAAAGAAATAATTAGAGCCCGACCCCGAAGCTCAACCAGCAGCGCTTTGGAACTTAGCGGTAAAGCAGAATGTTAGGTAAGACCGATACGAAAAAAAAAATAAATAAATAAAATGTAGTAGTATAATTATATATATATATATATATATATTTATAGGGAAACAACTTGGTCGTATTTCATGTCTTTTGATTGTGTTGTACACAAATCACCTTTCTTCGTCGGTACTGCTGACAACAATTTATATTGTAATTTGTGTTAGGAAATCCTAGGCACACCTAAAGTTTGCCTTTTCGTGCTCGGAGATCGATCTTTGAACATTGAGATGACCAAATTATTTCTGCCTTTTCTTTTGTTCTCTTTTTTTGAAGATTGGATTATCATCAGACCTTTGTGTATTTCTCGAAGAAACTCTACCTCCCATTGTCGGACACTGTTTTGACTTACCGATGTTGTGAAATTAGTCGATCTTACATACTGAGATAAATAAAACTTTATCGTTAATAGTTCGGATGAACGCTTCTGTATAAAATGCAATTCCGAAAAATAAATTTCTGCAAGTTAATTTATCACATGTATATGAAGTTGATTTCTATTGTAATATATGTAATTACGGTTATAACCTTTATATAGGGTTTGTTTTTGTTTATATATACCATATATATTGTAGGTAATACATATTAATGGAATATTATCTCTATTATTCTAAGTTGATATCAGAGCGGGTTTTATTTGCGGACCTGTGTGACTTGTGGGACGGGCCTTTGACTGACCCGGTAGTTATATTTGGGGTGTAATTTATTCACCCATTTGGTCCTTCTACTTCTATTTATCCAAATATGAGTTTTCTATTTCTACTTCTTCTACTTACCCAAATCTGGACTTCTTTATTTACTTCTTCTACTTACCCAGTTATATCTGGGCCTTTACTGATCCGACAATTTATCTGATTTGTCCAATCCCTTCGGTCTTGAGAGGAGGGTGTTGTGAATATAATCTTGTCCCATAGGGATAGTTGGAGACTCTTGAAACCAATATATAACCACATGTGATATTCCCCTTCTTACCAATTGGTTTTAAGGTGGAACCACATGTGAGCCTATATTTGAACTTTCAAGATATGTATTTACAATTATAGCATTTGTATAGGGTTTGCTATTGTCTATATATACCATGTATATTGTACGTAATACATATGAATGGAATACTATCTTTTTTATTCTAAGTATTCCATATATGACCCTAAAAGTTCAAAACCGCATTACACATGGCAATTTGCAAGTTATTTGTTCCAGAAGATGTTTAACGCTCATTACAATAACCTGTAGTAAATATTTGTAACTTAATGTAATAATAACACTTGTTCCGTCTCAATCAAAACAGTCACGCTAACACTATTTTACATATCAATAAGAATTGAATTTATCATCTGCTAACTCTTTTTGGTTAACATATCTGTTCGCTTTTGGTTTGATCATTTATGTAGGATCTCAGAGTGCATGCTCTGAACCAAGTGGATACATTTGTCCTCTCTGATAGAGAAGGAGAGGAAAAGAATAAAAAGAAGAAAGTTTAAAAGAAGTATTCGAAAATGCACTGAAAGAAAGACCATATATTTGGAGGGGGTGAAGTTGAAAGCGACGATAGCTAAAATGGTGATAATACGGACTTTTCTTTTTGGTTTTTTTCTTTTTCAATAAATATATATATATAATATATATATATATATATATATATATATATATATATATTGACAAGTTGTTTTCACCCTATGGCTTTTCTGGACTTAATTGGATCCATCCCGTGACTCTCTCACCTGGACTTACATAACAGCTCCGTTTAATATTTTCCTCAAATAATTTAATATATGTATATATATGAATTGTTTCTGCAATTTGATGTAGTATATCTAATCAATCACTTTATTTTTCCAGAAAAATATTTTTAAGAAAATGATTCTGTAACTTTCACCCTATTCTGTTTCCTCACGTCTGTCTTTGACGTCCGAATATGAACACTAGTTACACACACTACTACCGAACGCCGAAAGGCATACGCTTACTAACTTGACCAAGCTATATATGCATTAATTCGGACATGATTAATACCGCAATATTTAAGAAAAGAAGTAATCTTTGATGTTATTAAGTTCCGAGGAAAAAAAAATCATTTTTGTCTTATTTTAATAATTTGTTAACTATGTTGTTTTGTTTTATTTCAACAAATCAAATTATTAATTACGTTATATTAAAATGAGATGGAAGGAAAAGTTTTTACCGCAATAGCATCTGTTGGTTATTGCTGATTGCAAATGGTGCTCAAGTTGTGAGGATTAGACTTAAGGGGAAAAAATGGTGTGGATTTAGAAGAGAAAATCCAATTGGCATCTGCAATAGTGAAAACATCATTGTCAAACCGTTTATGTAAAATTACAAGAAAGCGACTAAATTGTCACAATGTACCCCCCCATGCACCCACAATAATATAAATACATAGACGAAATAAAAAAAATGGAAACGATAATCCAAATTGCAATCCAATCGGGTCACGAGACATGGAAACTCTGATATAACCTGATTAAATTCACCATGCATAATGATGATGATGCTGTTCCACGCATTTCACATTCACACTTATTCTTTTTGTTCAATTATTTTTGCACTTACTTTTTTCTTTCTTTTTTTTTTTCTTATACTGTCGATCCTGACATATCTCTTAATTTCCTCGCATGTTGCATGCATACTTTATTTTTATCCCTCAGAATAAACAGCATATAATTTTTATTGTAAAGGGAAAAGTTTGGAGGAATTTGAAGAATGCATATATGTTTAATAAAGAAAACTCTTTCTCATATTTTACACTACTTATGTGATGAATTTCTTGATCTCGTGTATAGCAATTTTGATCAAGGAGTCCCACTTCATATTAGTCATGGCTAGTGTAAAAAATATTATCTTTTTTATTATCCGTTTGCTGTATATTGAAATCTAAACTCTGAACATTTATCGAATGCTTGTGAGAGGAGTACTGAGATAGTTACGAAATATTACTGATATTATACATAATTCTTTTTCTTTTCCCCCAAAAAATAAAAGATACTTATATGAAAAATACAAGTACTAACAATACACATTAAGATAACCTCTTGTAAAGGTTTTGATGTCATCATATTTAGTAGTAGTTTCAAACGCTATGGCATAAAATATCAAAACACTATTTGGTAGTACTAAAATATAAAACAGAAACATAATTTACACACAGGGCCTTGATAATTGGCCCACGTTTCTCAGGCATGTTTTCACTCGATCTCAAAAGACTGGGCCAACAATTTTTTGTCCTAGTCCCAGCTGTAGTTTGTCAACAAGCTTTTCTTTCTTTGAATTTGATGTTTGAAAGTTGGAACTCCATTATCAGAAACTCAAAAGGACCCAATCTGAACAAATGGGCTATGTTTACCATCTGCATGCAGGTCAGATAATCAGATCCATCTGCAACATTAGGCTGATGGATGCTGATGCAATTCTCGATTTTGCACCTTGCTCGGATCATGTTTTCAAAGTTTCAAATGAAACTAATCACCGTGTCTCAAAATAATTATCTCGATACTTTTTTTTTGTTACAAAAAAGAAGGCAAATGTCTAGATAGTCACATTCCTAGAGTATGATACCCCTATTTCATTATGTTCTAACCAGCATGTTCAAGAGATGAAAAGAATAATTGCGAAAAGCTATTGTTTCTAACCAGCATCCATTAATCTCTAATCATTGACCAATTGTTACCCTAATCACCTCGATACGTAGAGCCTTGTGCAAGGAACAAATGACTCATATCTAAGGTGTAAGTACAACAGTTCCACCAGGCCAACAGTCTTAAGTGATCAAAGCATGTTAGAGATCTTTGAAACATTCGAACTTCAAAGCAAGCGCTAAGCAAGAAGGTTTATCTAGTTCGTTTCTTCTTCTCAAACAAACAATAGAGCGGTGGTAAAAAGCATTTTCAGAAAAATAGTCATGTATATTTTTTTTAAGAAAATAGAGTTGATTTCGGCTTGGTTTTTCACACACGGAGAGGAAAAAATGAAGGGAAATTTTGGTTGAAGGGTAATGGAGATGGTCAAATTAATAAAATGAGCATGATCATAAAATAATTTTTATTAAAGACAGTAAATTACTTATAAAAGATTATTTAATTAAAACACTTTTGTTTTTACATAATTATCTTCACTATATCTTCTAATTAGTGGGAAGCTATGTTCCTTTTTCTTTTCTGTTTATACTTTCAAAGCACAGCTTTCATTTCTTATCCAAAAAAACACACCAAAGTCGCGATTATTTATGCTTTTGTTCTCAACGTACAAGTAAGAATAAGGGAGAATTTGACACATACCACAAAACAGTTTCTTTGGTAATACGAAAGATTTGACGCACACCATCACAGTGGGTAAGTTCCCAAACCAAAATAGATATCTTCAAACAGGTCGTACTCTCATTTATCAATGTTCACAAAATTAATAAGACCATATAGTGGTGATAGGATAAAACTGGAGATTGAGGAGTAGTAAAATTATGATTTGAAAACAAGCTGATCTTATAACTGGAGTAGGTTCACCATGATTTGATTCTTATTTTCGCAACAGTCCTCTGAACCCATTATTTTGTGTTTCTTGAAATTTTGATGTAACGTTGCATGTTGAAGAAGATGGAAGAGGATTTAACTTCTTTTTGCCATTGAAAGAATTAGTAGGCAAAGGGTAATTTTGTCATATTATAAATCTATTAATTTTATAATTTATGACAAGTAATTTATTATTTTTAATAAACATTATTTTTGTTGTCATACCTCTTTTATTAATTTGACTAATTCTACTTCCTCGTAACCAAATTTTCTCAAAAATGAACATCTTACCAAACTAGTCTGTTGAATCCGTTTAGTTTAAGCCCTAAGGAACAAAATTGTATTGAAAGTGAGTGAATATTGTATTTATATTTTCTGAAAATGTACAATCATTATTTTTTTTGTCCAGAACACATTCATAAGTCATAACCATGTCTTCATTTTCTTTTTTGAAGCTAACCAACCTCTCTAACAAGAGTTCAAATATATTTATCATCATCATCATTTAGAGTAGTATTTTTTTTTTTTTTCAAAGTAGAGGTAGTTTGCTGATGTGTCAATTCGAAACATAACTAAAATCACCGCGACGTCATGTCATCGGGAGGCGTTTTGCACACGTGGACTTCAGCAATAGGCTGCTGTAACGTGGTATGACAAACAGAGTTTAACGAATCCGTCTTCCTCAACAATTACGAATTCTCAATTTCGAGCTCGTAGAAATTAAAAAGGTTTCCTTTTTTTTTTTTGTAGAAATTAGAACTGGGAGTGAAGCAGCAATATTCGATTCAAATAACTATAAACCTTAATAATCCATCACAAAGATTCATTCTACAGACATAAGAAGATATTTCCATACTCCATAGATTTTTCAGTTGAAGACGGAGAAGCCCTCTCTTCCTTTCTGCCACCCCTGCCACTTCTTAATTTGATTTGGGCGCCGGAGCAGGGACAACAAAAGAGGGTTTTCTTAATTTTATCAATTTATCAACTTTTCATTCCGGCCTTGTTTTGAGGTGGAAGGAATGAGACAATGGGGTTTGTTATCGGCAATACCTTTGCCAATGGATTTCACAGCTTGGAGGGGATTCGTCTTTACGGTTTTCATTCTGAATTTCGTGTTCGTTTGCCAGTTACTCCTGCTCCAACCACTCGTTTCTGCATTAGGTACACAATCCATTGTTTTCTGTGCCTTAATGTTTGACGTTATTTTTATGTTTATGTTTCTTTATGGGAACTTGGATGGGGTGGCGGCTGACATTAAATTCGAGTTACCATTCTGATGTTTCTTTCATGCTTTGTCTTTCGTTTGAAATTTTGGATTTCTAGATGATAGCTGCTGTGATGATACTTCTTTAGTGCTAAGACTGAATGAGATGAGCGTAATGTTGTCGGATTTAATACTAGATACGAAAATGAGATGATTGTTATTCCTTACGATTCTTTTCTTTGCTGCATTACGCTAATTAGTTTCACCTTAGTTTCTGTTCATCGGAAAGATATGATATTTATTTGTTTCTTAAGTTGTAGAGACCTCACACTAAATCGTCACCGGTTTTAGAGTAATGAGGACATTGAAAGCATAGCATGATTAAGTCCCCATTCCAAATCCACAATCATGTATCTTTGTGGCCTAAAAAAGAAAACAGGTGCTCTCGCACCTGTCTTTCTTTTTAGGGCATTGAATAGACAACAAGAACTGCCATGTAAAGATGGACTCTTGGACTTAGGAGGACTACTTCATTGCTTTGAAGCAGGCTCATCTGTTGAAACTATAAAAGTTTTTATAATCTGCAATGCAGTGCCTTCTGCGCTCTTATGTGGGTACTGACCTTTTGTCATTACTTTATTAATCAATCGTTTGAGTGGAGTAGTTCTTCTGAGGGAGTTTTCTTTACACTTGATGATGATATTTGGATTTGGTATTCTTTGTTCACTAACATTGAGATGTCTCACAAGAGTCAAATGAATTAGTCGAGATTGCTTTTAGTGAACCTTTTAGCTTCCATTTGCAGATGGCAAACCCGGCGATGATGCAGCACTGTTTCAAAGAGTTTCTGAAAGTGTAAAGGTCAAAAAATATAGTGAGGCCCTAAACGAACTCAAATCTGCTATTGATGCAAACCCAGCACTCTCGGAAGCCTACTGGCATCAAGCATCCATTCTTCGACAGTTATGCAGGTACTTTTTCTTAATTTTCTTGTTTGAGCGAAAAAGCTATGCGGTTGAGTTTTTGTTATTTTACCTTTAAGTTTGGGCATCTGTGAGAAGTTGCCAAACTGATGCAAATCACGAGCATTGCTGAGCGAGAGCATACAACTGATTCTCAATAGAAGTGCTGTATGCATAGGCATCTGTACTCTGTTTAAGACCTCTTAGCCATTAATTGTCAGTGTTGCTCATTTTATGGATAGGCTACTTCCTTGCAGTACTTTTTCGACAGTGTCTCCTGGCTCCTTCCCTCTCTCTTTCTCTCTCTCAATCCCTACAACCTGATACGATGTTCCCCATCCACCCCAACTTATATTAGTGATTAGAAAATCATATGAACAAGCAATTTTTGGCTGTGGTAGATATGAGGAGGCAGAGAAAAGCTACAAGAGGTTTTTGGAGCTGAAACCGAAAAATGCAGCTGCAGAGAAGGAGCTTTCTCAGTTGTCCCAAGCTCGGAGTTCTCTGGATTCAGCTGTGAGTCTCTTTGATTCAGGTGATTTTACGAAGGCCTTGGAGCATATTACCAAAGTGGTGCTTGTTTTCTCTCCAGCTTGCTCAAAGGTATTTCGCAGCATCTGAATAATCTTCCATTTGTCGTTCTTCTTGTTTGACACTGATTTCAGTTGGTGCTTTTTTGCAGGCGAAAATGCTGAAAGTGAGGCTACTAATAGCAAGTAAAGATTATTCCAGTGCCATATCAGAAACAGGATTCATTCTCAAAGAGGATGAAGATAACCTAGAGGCGTTACTCTTACGAGGCCGAGCTTATTATTATTTGGCTGACCATGATGTTGCTACAAGGTTAGTTCATAAATTTATGGAGTTCACTCTTAATTCATCTCTCTCTCTCTCTCTCTCACACACACAAACACACACACACACACATTATGCTCTATAGCTTATTTTGAGATTACTTCTTTCAGGCACTACCAGAAGGGTCTTCGTCTGGACCCTGAGCATAGTGAATTGAAGAAAGCATATTTTGGGTTGAAGAATCTACTCAAGAAAACTAAAAGTGTAATAAGATTAAATATTCTCTTTATTCACTTTCTCCTGTTCTATATGCTCTGTCATTCTGTTTAACTTCTTATCCCTCATTCAGGCTGAGGATAATGCTAGCAAGGGTAAGCTTCGAGTGGCTGTAGAAGACTATAAAGGAGCCCTCTCAGTGGACCCAAATCATTCAGCGCACAATGTGCATCTCCATCTTGGTTTATGTAAGGTCTTAGTTAAGCTTGGTAGAGGAAAGGATGCTGTAACCAGTTGTTCAGAAGCACTTGAAATTGATGAGGAGCTTGTAGAAGCATTAGTTCAGGTTTATTTCTTTATATATTTTTGGTGAAGAATTGGGCTCGGCTTTCCAAATCTGTCTATTGCTACATTTCTTGGTCTGAAATTATAAATTATTTCTATAACAGAGAGGTGAGGCTAAACTTTTACTAGAAGATTGGGAGGGAGCTGTTGCAGATCTGAAGCTAGCTGCTGAGAAATCACCTCAGGTTTGTCTTGCACATGAATTCTAGATATATTTTGTTAGGATCAAAAGCTGTACATACTTCCTGGTTCATTGGTCCTCTACGTATGGTAGTTCTTGCCAATTGAGGCAAAACATTTATTTGTTTAATCTCGGGAAATTGGATTGATTTTGTTGTTTACTATGTTTAAAAGCATTCTGTTATTTAGTCAGCAGCATGTGGCAGTTATGCAAATTTTCCATGAATTCATTAATTTTTCTTCCGCTTGGGCATTTTTTTCCCCTAATCTTTGGCGATGTTATTTTAAATATGTATTTCATCCTTGAGACTAAAAGTCATCATCCCTACAGGATATGACAGTGCGAGAAGTGCTGATGAGGGCTGAAAAAGCCTTGAAGATGAGCCAACGGAAGGACTGGTACAAGATTTTGGGGGTTTCAAAAACTGCATCAGTCTCTGAAATAAAAAAGGCTTACAAGAAACTTGCTTTGCAATGGCACCCAGATAAGAACGTTGACAACAGAGAAGAGGCAGAGGCCAAATTCCGAGAAATAGCAGCTGCATATGAGGTGTGTTTCCTGACAGATATCGCTCACGTATCTACGTAGTTTCTATTAACTCAATCTGCAATAGCTGTCTTGGAAACATTGAAGGTCTAATAACTTCAACCTAATACAAACCGGAAACAGCAATCTTTTTCTCAAGAAAGGGCATTGTTAAGTTCCTGTTATTTGTGTTTTGCCCTTGCCCTGGAACCAAACCTATTTTCACTTATGAGAAAAGCTGAGATGCTTCCCCAGTGGAACATGGTTTAGAATAATGTTTGACATTGGAAATTACTCGTCCCTTTCTAGTTCTTATTGTATCTGTGTTTTGACTTTTCCTTTCAGGTTCTAGGGGATGAGGAAAAGCGCACCAGATATGACCGTGGAGAAGACATCGATGAGATGGGTGGAATGGGTGGCGGAGGGTTTAATCCATTCGGTGGTGGTGGACAACAATATACTTTCCACTTCGAAGGAGGATTTCCAGGTGGTGGTTTTGGTGGTTTCCATTTTTAATTATTCGTTTCCCCTTCTATTAGGCTCTGTGCATTTAGTAAGAATCACAAAGATGATTCTATCCTTAGTCAAAAAATTTGAATGGAGTGAATGGAAGTTTTGAGGAATTTTACATGAAACCCCATCCCTTGACACAGTTTTGCTCCTTGCGGCTATTGTGTAGTGATCAGATGTCGGTAATAGTCGTCTGAGGAATAGATTAGCTATTGATCCATTCTATGACTTGATAACAAGATAGTACATGTAACCTGTATGTAAAGGATAGGATGGTATCAATGGTGATTCTCTGTTCTCACTTTTTCCATACTGACTAGTTTAAATTCCTTGAAATAGAAGCAAAAAGTAGCTCTTTTCTTGCAGTTATTTTAACGAGTTATTTCTCCAGATGACCAAGTTATGGATTCTATTGTGATAGTTGTCGTATTTTTCCGAAAGGCAGGTTTACTTTCAGTCATGAATGCGCAGAGTTTTAAGAATAACAAACCTTTCAAACCTGCACACTCGCATTCAAAATTCTAAAAATACAGTAGTACTTTGGCAGTGCATATTGCATTGCCGAGTAGTGGAAAGAAAATGATCAAACCAGAATAGAAATGCTTGCAAAATAAACTAGGTTGCTCCTGCGGTTTGCTCCAGCGGTCATCCGAATAACAAAGGCGCGGCTACAACCGCAACCAGAAAGCTTGCCTGAAACATTTCATGCATCAGATTGAGACCAACTGCATGGGAAGAAACCGTGGATGAAGACGCTGAAGATCTCTTTTTATGTATTGAAGGGGCTGGAGCGGGCGCTGGAGGTGGTGGAGGAGGTGGAGCAATGAAAAACCTCTGTGGCATAAGTACCTGATCTACTTCGTATACCGCAAGCTGGCCATCAGTGTAAACTGTGTTCACAACTGACGCATTGACGAATCCCGTGGTAATGTTGACTCCAGTTCCTGATGAGGTCACATTAAGCGGAAACTGGCCGTAGTTTGTTCCTCCAGCTTCAGTGCCGACAGGATTGCTTGCAGTTTGGAATTGCTGGATCGACATGTAAGAAGGCAGTGTGTGGAACTGGACGAGTTCGGATTTTTGCTCGTCCGTGTAAGAGTTGAGAGTGCCTGATTTGAGGTTCGCGAAAGCGCCATCAGCTGGCGCAAATATAGTGAGGCCTTGATTGGAGTTGTTGAGCTGAGTGTTGATCCGATCAACAGATTGTGTGCTTTCAAGTAAGCGGATTAGTATGGTGAATCGGCCGGCTTTTTCGAGGATGGCGGTGATATTAGTTGGACCTGGTGGTGCAGGAGCCAGGGCTGAGGACTGAGCTGAGATAGTTGTACTGAAATGGATAAAGAACAGCAGAAGACAAGGAAATGTGGGAAGGATTAATTGTTTCATTTCCATCTGATTGGGGAAATTGACAGTTTATAGTTTCTTGTAGAGATGGCCTAAATTGTAGGAATAGGTTGAAGGAATGAGGAAGTATTTGTTAAGGGTGGATTTATATATAGGGAGAAATGGTGAAAATTAATCCAAATTATGGATGGGGGTAGGATTTCATTTTCCTGGCAGCCATAGGTGGAAGGGTGCAATTTAAGGTGGCAGGGAGGATTTTTGATGATGTAATGGCAGCTTCTGTTTTGCTTGCCATGGGAGGAATCCCAGCTGGGCAACATTATGGATGTTTCATTTCCTTTTTCTCAATTTATATGAGGGTGGCAGAGACTTTTGACAGGAACTCAATTATATTTCTTGGCTTCTAATGCCAATGAAGCTTACAATTTCCACTTTCACGGATCATTTGGATGGATCGGATACTAATTTTCGCTCGAAGTTCAATAGGATAAGTCGTTTAAGCAAACAATTTTTTTTTTCTTGTAAATGATCTGGTTAAACTAAGCAAACGCTTTTCAAGAAAAAAAAAATAAAAATTAAGAGGTCAAACCGCTCGAACAACTATTCGTTTTTACAAGAAGTACTAACAGAAAAAGTTAACAGCAACATGAATACACGATTTTGATATCGGTGATTAGTTCACGAGAACTGCATCATGTCATCCCAAGATTTATTTCAGAATGGTTAATTGTTGCTGTGAATTAATCCAAGAATTTGTTTCAGGATGTATTATAATATATGATCCAAATGAAGCAATTAGAAGTATGAAAGCTCCTTTTGGAGTTGAGCAGCCCTAATCCGAACCGGCTGACGTCAAATTCATGCATGTTTATATGTATTATATCCTGTGTAATTTATCAACTTCATCTTGAGTACCATAAAGTGGGAAGGCACATCATTTTCATTGATTGGGATGATTTCCGAAAAGAATCATCTGTTTTTATCAATCTTAACAATATATTCATCATCATCATTCAAAATTTGCGGGAAGCAGAAGCGCCGAAATTTTAGTTGAAAATTCGGCCCATAAATGAACGTTGTTAAGGACCTGTTGAGCCCAGTTGTGAATGCCCCCAAGAGTCCGCAACTATTCTTTTGTTCATAAAGATAAGCCCATTAGCAGTGAAAAAGTAAGTCCTGATGATCATCGTTAACGGAGAAGAAGCAAAAACAACGAAATTGCAGCCGTGGTTAAAAATATTCTTGCCGAAAAAGAGTTTTATTTTGCCAAAGATATCTTATGGCCTCATTTTTTGATGGTTTAAAAACTTCATTTTTTTGCTGTGGTAATAATCTTAAACAAAACCTTAAATTAGTTGTTATTACAAACTGGACTTCGTCTCCTATCTCAATTGTGAGTTGTACTACTGTGCATTCAGCATTCGTGTGGCACTTAAATCATTCAACTGTTTGAAAGTAGGAAAAGTGTACATCTTTTTATCTATCAATCAATTGGTAAGGCCTCATTTCCCTAATGTTGCATTTCGCCGTTTTTGGAAGCTCCGGCAGATGGAACAAAAGATTCCGACAGCCCTACAAATTCTTGCCAAAACTGACCATTCCGAATTTCCCCCCAAATCTAAGAATTTATTAATATATAGTATTACTAATATTATTTGGTGGGAAGAAAACCCACCCAAATAAGGTTAAGTCTTTGAACAAAACACCCTTTTCAGCTTACAAATTTGAAAAAAAAAAATTAAAAACAAAAGTCAATGCAAAATCAAAATTTTATTTATCCGAATATATATTTATTATAGCCCACAACTGAAAAAAATCGTAAGATTCCTAGAATTACATCACACAGTTAAACCATACGTCAATTTCAAAACACGCTTTTTCTTAGACCCATTCGATTTTTATTAGTGATCTTTCACAAAAAAAAAAAAAAAAACCCATAATTACCGTAGACCCAAACAAAAACCTCACAATTCATATGAACAGAACCCCCGGAGACAACAAAACACACACTCCGTCTGGGGGATGGATTAATTTTCCATGATCGATCCTAAAGAAGCAGAAGAAGAAACACAAGTTATTGATTTCTGGTTGATTGCTCGATTGATACTGGATTTCTGATTAGTGTGGGAGAAGAATTAGATTAATTCTGTTTATATTTTTGTATTTGGTAAAAAAATATGATGAATACTGCGGGAAGCAGCAATATGATGACTTCGTCATCGGCAACCGGAACCGGGAATAGCTCCCAAGCGCCGGGGTTGAAGACGTATTTCAAGACTCCAGAAGGCAGATATAAGCTTCAATACGAGAAGACTCATCCTGCTGGCCTTCTCCATTATGCCCATGGCAAGACTGTTACTCAGGTTTTTTTTTTCCTCTGTCCCTTTTGTAGGGTTTTTCTTTTTTATTTTTTTGGGGACATAGTTGAAATTTATCTTTAAATTCGGCTGCTTTGGTGGTTGGGATGTTGAAAAAACGGTATAATTTGGTTCCAGATTTATGGTAATCTGAGAGTTCAAGTAATGCTATTAGGTTTGGACTTAAGCTTGGATTTATGGTTTTGGCTTGTGGTGGATTTAGTTCATGGTTCCTTTCCTCTGTGCTGCCCCAATTTGGTAATCTCTATCGGAGTTTGACTTGGCTTTGTAGTGAGAGAATTGGGGTTAATCAACTTACAATGCCTAACCTTTTACCAAATGAAAATATTTTGTCTTTACATGTATATGGAACTTCTACTTGACTCAACTATGAATGTTATTTTTCTTGTTTATGGAAGTTGTTTATATTGAATTATTAAGTTCATTTTTCGCTGAAGTAGTTCTCGTTTCGTATTGCTTTTACCAAGGACCATCATTTTATTCTTTTGTGAGTATCAGTTTGGTGTCTAGAAAGAAAGAGGGAAGTCAAGCTAGGTTACATCACGTTGCACTTTTTCCTGCTTTGTGGTGTTGTACATTGTAGATTAAAACTTGAAGCCAGTTTGTACCATTTTGTGATTTGTTGGTGTTCATGAATCATCATTAGGTAACTTTAGCTCATCTCAAGGATAAGCCCACCCAAGCAACATCACAAACTTCATCAAGTCTCGGGGTTAGCAGTGGTGTTAGATCAGCAGCAGCACGGCTCTTGGGTGGTGGAAACGGAAGTAGGGCGCTTAGTTTTGTTGGAGGAAATGGAGGAAGTAAGATGGTGAGTGGTAATAGCAGCAGCACTAGTAGTAGAATTGGAGCAATTGGACCTTCAAGTTCGAGTAGTGTATTATCTAATTCAAATTTTGACGGCAAAGGCACTTACTTGGTATTTAATGTTGGTGATGCCATCTTCATAAGTGACTTAAATTCTCCGGATAAGGTAAATTTATGCCTGCTTTCATGTTTGGCATATGGCTATGGCGATAAATTTTGTAGCAGACTAAGTTTTGAGAGGTTTATACTTATTGTAGGATCCCATAAAGTCGATTCATTTCAGTAATTCAAATCCTGCATGCCATGCATTTGATCCAGATGCAAAGGATGGTCATGATTTACTGATAGGCCTGAATTCTGGGGATGGTAAACCTCTTCTATATATTTGGGAATTGGGATTGATTCTAGTTACCCTTAAGTTTTATTCGAGGCTCCTTGTATAACTAATTTTTTGCCTAATATTTAAAATTGTAGTGTATTCGGTGTCTCTTCGACAACAGCTACAAGATGTTGGGAAGAAGCTTGTGGGTGCACAGCATTATAATAAAGATGGAGCTGTCAACAATACGTAAGTTCATAACATCTAAATCTTGAGCTAGTCATTTGTTTGTTGCTAATCACGATGTACATTCCGGGAAATGTGATGCTGGTAAAGTATTGTTTTCTTGTCTTTCGAAATTTTGTTTGCTTATTTTAACTCAGCAGATAATGCTTTTCTTTTTTTGGGAGGTTCATTATAATGGTTTCTTAATGTGCCCATTTGTGGATGGAAATTGGAAACTACTGAGTATAAATTAAGGAATGTGACTAATGTAAGATCTTCTGGTATTATTTGCTATAGTGTGAAGATCGAATGAAGTCTCTCTCCAAATTTCTTACCTTCTAATTTAAAGCACGCCTTTTTATTGATAGCTTTTCTTGTATCAATATTCTCAGTTTTTTCAATATTTACTAATAAATAGGTAAAAGCAATAGTTGCATAAGATTTTTGGAAATAGATATTCTGCTTTTCAATTCTAATTATTTGAAAATTCAGCTAGTAGTCACTTGTTGTCTAATGGAATTTGTTTTCTAATTTGAATAATCTTCTTGGTCTGAACAGTCGATGTGCAAGCATCGCTTGGGTTCCAAATGGTGATGGCACATTTGTTGTTGCTCATGCCGATGGAAGTTTGTATGTATACGAAAAGGCAAGTTTTCGTAGGTTTATTGATATGTATGTTTGTATATATATATATATATATATATATATATATATATATGTATATCCATTGCCTGAAGAGTCTAAACTGCTATATGTGCTAATATCTGTTTTGTTGTTGCTTTCAGAGCAAAGATGGTTCTGGGGATCCATCATTCCCTATTATTAAAGATCAAACCCAGTTTTCAGTAGCGCATGCACGTTACAGTAAGGTACTCGTTATTCAATTATTTGTCATTGTCCACTTCTTCACATGTGGTTCCTCTTTCTTTTATGTGAAAAAATTTATACTGTCAAGGAGCAGTCAGTTATATGAAATTTCTGTTGGGTTCATGATCGTGTTGTGTATGGCCCCTGCTTTTGCTTTATACTTATGTGAATTATGTTCTGCATGGTTCTTATTTAGTGAAGCTTTAGCAATAGAGGCACTGAATTAACTGTCATATGCGAGAGATTATGGATGGGCAAGGTTAGGTACTTGACGTTTTAACTTAAGTTCTCACCTAACATAGACCAATAGCTTTGGTATAATGCAGCAGAAAAAGTGTAATTATCATTTCACCGCTACACTGTTACTTGATTGTTCAGCAAAATTTATGTCCTGTTGCCTGCAAGAAAGTGCTCCTGGAGTCCTGACGCAGAGGAGAAAAAAGCAAAAGGAAAAAAGAAAAAGAAAAAGGATTGCAACTATTTATTTTTGGTGAACCATTATTCTCTGCCCAGCCAAACTACCTGGCATTAGGATTGAAGAGAGACTTCAAGATTTTCCTTTTCCTAGTTTCACTTTCAATGTGTTGTATTTTATCGGTGGTATCATTTTGACGAGATTACTGACTGGATACTTTTATTTGAGGAGCGGAAACATTAAAAGCTCATATACTACCAATCCCCCCCCCCCCGCCACCCACACACACACACACTTTCACTTTGTTTATTACAAGTTGACTTCTAACGCAGAGATGTAGTTTTGGTAATGTAAGAGTTTCCTGCTGGTTCTGTTTTACATTCGTATCTTGTTTTGCATTTGTAAAGTTTACTGAAATCTTTATAGTTTTGTTTACTGTAATATCGTTGTTGATGTTGTGACCATTTTAAGTTTGCTTTCCTTGTGTTCCGCAGAATCCCATTGCCAGATGGCATATTTGTCAAGGTGCAGTTAATAGCATTGCCTTTTCTGCTGATGGAGCATACATTGCAACCGTTGGGAGGGATGGTATTTTCTTCATCTGATGATTTCCTTAATTGATTTTGTATACATTTGTATGTGTAAAAGACCTCAGCAAATGAATGTAGGCTATTTACGAGTATTTGACTACAAAAACGAGCAACTTATATGTGGTGGGAAAAGCTATTATGGTGCTCTGTTGTGTTGTGCTTGGAGGTGATCTCTCAGTCTCTCATGTATTTTGTATGTTTCTTTATGATTTATAGTTATCTCTTTGCATTAAGTTTATTTTACATCTCTCTTTTACCTGTTAAGTGTTTATTCTATGTGCAAATTAAACTGACAATACATTAAACAACAGCATGGATGGGAAATACATATTGACCGGAGGCGAGGATGATTTGGTTCAAGTTTGGAGCATGGATGATCGAAGAGTTGTTGCATGGGGTGAGGGACACAACTCATGGGTAAGTTGTTGCAGATCTCATTTAAATCGAGTTACATAGTGGTTCCCTTATGACTAACTGAGCTGTTTCTCATGGATTGTGGCAGGTGAGTGGAGTATCATTTGATTCGTATTGGACAGCACCGAGTTCAGATGGCACAGGAGAAAGTACTGTTTATCGATTTGGTTCTGTTGGTCAGGTATTTTTAAGTTGGTGACACAATTATGCTTGTTGTTTTGTTTCATCATGGTCCTTGTTCTCATTATATAGCTGTTCCATGGTGACTGCTTCATTTTCTTACATGACGCTCTTTCTCCATTCATTCTGTGGGCACCTTTTTGGAATACCTTTTTTCCTGTATTGTAATGACTAAATGGTTTACTCTTCAGACTTCCATACTAATTGAACTATTATCTGCTGTCTGTATCAGTGTTAGCTATCCAAACGTGCACACTTTTGGATGAGTGACTTGTTTTGGAAATCAAAAGGAGATTTATATATCTCCTAGTGTTTATAAGGAGATATATCCATACTAATTGAACTATTTCTGAACTAGATTTCTTGTTCCTTCTCCTGGGCCAGTTCATTTTAGTTACTTCGCCCCACTTGCCCTTACAAGCCTGAAAGTTACTCGCTTATTAGCGTTGAACTGAAATGGTTGTGAACAGAAGTGCAAATATGAAGGCACATGTCTACTCTTTTATCATTAGAATTGTTTTAGTCAGACTTATTATTATTGTTTTTCTTGGGGGGGCTGATGGTTGAACTTGTTACATTTTTAAAGTTAAATCATGGTTTGGACAGGACTCAAATGATAGTTTGGCTTGAGAGTGGTTTTATTTCAAATGTTTGTCTCCAATTACGTAATGTTTCAGGAGGAGAAATCATGTTCCATAATTATTGATTGTCAGAAGTCACTCAGCTACAATCAGCAGTTCATTTTTCTGCCATTCTGTCACATCAGTCATTGTACAAATTCACTGTTGAATATCATTTCTCACTCGGGTTTCTGCATGATCAATATGATTTAGCAGGTTTTCTTGTTTGGCTGAATTCAAATTTTAAGTGAGGACTTAGTGAATTCTGAATATCGTTTCTTTTTAATTTCAAATCAAATTTAATCAACCTCCCTTCATTCAGATGAGAAATATTTTCTGTTTGGTTGGAAATCAGTAGTTATTTGTTATGCAAGATATGAAGTAATTTGGATCCCTGGCCTGTGGAAATGACATCCTCTACTTTGAATAAGCCATTATAATACTAGTTTGTGGTCTGTTTAATCCATTAGCTGAAGCCATGCCAATCACTTGGAAGTTCCTTATTGATATGTCTTTATACGTGTTGTACCTGATTTTGGAAAATGTTTCTTAAATGTTACAATATGATTCTTTGTCCAGGACACACAATTGCTACTATGGGATCTCGAGATGGATGAAATTGTTGTGCCGGTGCGCCGGCCTTCTGGTGGATCCCCTACATTTAGTACAGGAAGTCAGTCGTCTCATTGGGACAGTGCTTGTCCTGTTGGTATGTTGCAACCTGCTCCAAGCATGAGAGATGTCCCCAAGTTATCCCCACTGGTTGCTCATCGTGTCCACACTGAACCTCTATCAGGCTTGATATTCACGCATGAATCTGTCCTTACTGTGTGTAGGGAGGGTCATATAAAGATCTGGATGAGACCAGGCTTTACCGAAGGCCAGTCTAGCAACTCTGAATCATTATTGAGTACCAGTGCGAAGGAGAAACAGTCGCTCTCTGGGAAGGCTGTGAATTCAAGTTACAAGCAATGACCACTACCTGTGTTGCTGGCAAAATCATGCCCTTGTAGTTGATCTTGTCATATGTTTTTTCGGAAACTGAAAAATATATGACCTAACTAGCTTGCAGAGATATTAACTGACAAGGTTCCTTGTATAGCCAGGGCTTAAAATGCCATCAGGGCACCAAAAAATTGAGAAGAGTGCCCGGCCACATTGTAATTATGAAAGGGCTGTGCATCAAATTTACCAGCGAGAATAATTGAGGTACCATTTTGAGATCTGTATTGCCTAGTTGCTTGTTCGTTTTGTAGCCAATTTTGCTGGGAAGGGAGCCGGTGAAACATTTAAATTATGCAGAATCACTTGCAGAGTTTGCTGTTTGACATTGACTTTGCATTCTTTGTGAATGCTAATAATTCTTTTATGGCTCAAAGTTTGAGGGAACTTATTTTATCCGCTCAGTATGTAGCTTGACAAAATGGACTGCCATTTCTATGTACCTTTGATCAGCGATTGTTGTTGCCACAAAGGATTTCCTCCATAGAATTCTCTAGATAGACTACCTGCCTTCTAATAATGGCATTTTTGAACGTTAAAGATTGGTAGGTGTTCTTTCAGGGCAGTTGCTCCTTTTAGGCTTTTACACCATCTTTCTTGACCCGAATTTGTGAGTAGCTGTGACCATTGGCTAAAGGTTTGGATGGTCAGAATTTTATTTCAATTTTTATTTGTTAAAATAAAAATAATATAAAGATAAATGCGGTTTATTTGATAGAAATTTAAGTACTGGATAAGATGGAAATGAAAATAAATTAATATTTCAACATTAAAAAAAAAAAGAGACACTAATAAAATCCAAATACAAACTTAAATAGGTTCATCTTGTATTTTTTTTTTTTAAGGCTGCAAAATGAGTTCTCGTTTAATTGGTGAAGGTAGAGCCGGTACATGGAATGATTTTTAGGCTGTGAAGTGTGATGTGGTCCAATCTTATGACACGTGTGATTTTGCTTGAACGCCAACTGTTGCCGTAAAATGCGAAAAGCCACAACTATCAATAGTTTAATACATCTCCAATATTCAATCCACCGGCCGCCGCTGCTCCTACCATTGACGCCGGGAACGAAATTGAAAAAGAGATGAAACTGGCGCTTGTGTGGTTGATAAACCGGAAAAAGGGCCTAAAACTAATAATATCTCGAGTTACTGGGAACATACTACTCTATTATATAAGGCTAAGAAGAAGTAGATCTTCAGACGAAGATGATGATGATGATGATGATCAATGGACGAAGCAGAGAAATCAGGATTTACTGGTGGCCAAATTCTTTAATTAAAGCATATAAGGTGGCTCTGGTTGCCTGCCTGAGTACAAAATGGGTGATGACATGTTTAGAGAAAGAAATTAGAAGAATATATAATTTTAGAGCAAATTAGTCTGGTTCAGGTTGGGACTTGGGAGTTTTGCATTGACGTATATGCCATCCCCAAAAGATAGCACCGTGATTTGAAGAACCCTAATTAGAGAGGGGGCAATTGTTCATCCAGAGCAAAATTTGTGAATTATTTTTGTCTCCTTAGTCCTTATTTCATTATGTCTTGAGACATCATCGGTGCAATTGTTTCTCTTCCGACGATGATGGTAGCTATGACCGGGGACAGCAAGAATCGTGGATTGAGAGTGGGGAAAAATAATTGGGGTCAACGGTGAAAGAGGGAAAAAAAGGGAAAAATTTAGACGTGTCATAACAGGATTGGATTGCTGCACTCATGGCTTCATGCATGCATTCGAAAAGGAGGCAATTCTACATCATCTAGAAGGACTTTGGGTTTGATATTTAACGTTAACGATGTACCGACGGAGATGCTTATCGGAAAATTATCTTAACCTAATATCTGTTGCTCATTACTCTCTCTTCTTTGTCCTCTGGTTCTGTCTCTGCTTCCCCCTTTTGTCCTTTAGGCTTTAGCCCTGAAATCAGTCTCCTTTTCAGTCAAGCTTTCTGCGCGCTTTCACTTTTTCCTTATTTGTGTAAGAATCCTACTTTAAAAATTATCATAACGTGACAAACCAACTCCGCCCCAGTTCCGCCCATTGGATGGGATACTTAAAAAACACAACAGAATCCTAATTATCTGGGTTTGAAACAACCTATTTACTGAGAGTGAAATTTAGAAAACACAACAAAATTTGGTCATGAGTTAGTGTATTATTCTTCATATCCTATATTATCTGGGTTAGTGTACTACTCTTCATATCCTTGCTCTAACTGAAAGTGAAATTTAGAAACACACAACAAAATTTGGTTGCGTTATCGAAAGTTTTATGGTCGAGAGTCATAACTCACAAGTCCACCCAGCAAGTCACAGTGATAGAGAAAGCTAGAAGGAATTAAGCAAGCAATAAATGGCTCCAAGAAGTGAATAGAATTAGTTATTCTGGCTTATACTTAACAGAGTCAAAAGTTGGCCAACATTGTTTTTATATCCCCATTTTAGTGCGGTATTGTTCTTTTGTCACTCCATGAAATGAAAAAGTCAGATGTTATACCAGCCTACTGTTAGAACTTAGAACACGTGAGTTACTTTTAAGATCTGTATCAAACTGAGGACAATTATTTTTTTTTCTAAGTAAATAGATTTTAATTCCAGTTATCACCTCAGAGATTAGTTCGCAACGTGAAACCACCAGTCCTTTAGGGGCTTTTGATTTCTAATGACCAAGGTTATATTTTTTTAAAAAAAAAAAAGTGATCAAGGATATAAATTCCAAGCAATTGAAGGCTAACTAACAATTACTCTTGTTGAAAAAAAAAACCATTTTATTGGGCTGGTTTAATGTTATAAAGTAAGCTCTTTCTTTCGGATGGGATATTAATCTGTTTTGTTAAATTACAACAATGCAATAAAGTTGACTGTTTCCTTGGAGCGAGTGAGTACTTCACAACTTTCCAATCAAGGTCATTCCAAGCCGGTTTTCCAATTGCACTTTACTGGGGGATTAAAGGGTAACGATAATGTCATAATGAGATGTGACATTGGACCCTCGGATATGTTTTATGTTTCTGATCAGCGTTTCGGCTATCTTTGGAAAATTAGTGAAATCATCTACAGTGTGTGTGTGTGTGTGTGTGTTTTTTTTTGGACAAAAAAAAGTGTTAACCCATGATAAGATGCAAAATTAAAGACACAATCATTTTCCTAAATAGGAATTTTTATGACTAGTACTAATTGATTTTAAAGAATAAATAAAAAAAACCTATCACATTTACTGATATACAGATACGCTAACTGGTGTATGGTAGTAGCTACGAAAAGTCATGGGATTTGTTATACATAGTTCTGCCACAAAGGTGGATTGAAATGGAATGGCTCAAGTGGGAAGTGCAATTGTAGGATGATCCTTTTGGTTATATTACAGATTAAAATTAAAACCATAATGCACTAAATTTTTGGACTTCCAAATTGGTGAACATGCCAAAATACATTAATTTAGTAACATAACCACCAAAATAAGTTAAATCAGGGATGTTTATTATATTTTTCATTTTTGTACAATACACGTATTAACGAGGGAAATGTACAAGTTAAACGACGTAAAGTACAAGTATCATCGGTTCAACTTTTGCTGATCATGAAAAAAACCGTTGAACAGGAGCGCCATCTACCGAATGCAGGGCTCCAAATTGGTTTCAACTGCCTCTCTATAAAACCCACAAGCCCTTTCACTATGTTGACAACTTGTCATTCTGCTCTATTTTATACATCCCCTCCCTTGCTCCACCAATTCTCTCTCCTCTCTTAGGTTATTGTGTAAAAATGGTGGCCTATCCGATTTACTTCGGTTCTTTCCAGACACCCGTCATGGTCGAAGCTAAGCTAGTCCCTCAGCCTTCATCCAAGTCTTCACCCACTTCAGAGAACAACGAAAACCAAGGCACTCAGGAACATGCTAGGTATGCTCTGTTTATCTCTTTTCTATCTTCTTTTGTCTTCTCCAGACTGTTTTTTCTTCTTTTTTTTTTCAACTGATACTATTGTTTACTATTTCCAAAGGAAAAGCAGGACATGCTTGTTCGCGTACAAACACAGAGATCTCCAGAATCGCCGGAGATTGGTCTATAGAAGCCCATAGGGTTTCACCTCAAAACCAATTGGCAATGAGGGGAGTAGCCCATATACTTATATATTGATATCAAGTCTCTCCCACCACCAATGTGGGATACTCAACACTCCCCCGTAAGCCCAACGTCTCTTCTTTGGGTTGGGCTTGTCAGCCCAGTCACTGCCTCACGTCTCAGCCCTACCAGTTCTATCACATCAGGCTTTGGAGTCCGACTTTTGGCGGACTGGCTCTGATACCATATAGAAGCCTATAGGGTTCTACCTCAAAACTAATGTGCAATGAGTGGATTAGCCCATACACTAATATATTGATATCAAGTCTCTCCCACCACCAATGTGGGATACTCAACATGGTCTTCGTTGCCGACGGAAGACGAGTGGGCGGCAATATCCCGCCGGCGCAATACGAAGTCAAAATACACCAGCTCGGCCCCCTATGCTTGTATGGGTTTGCATATTGTGTTGACCATAGAAATCAATTGGTTCAAATGTTATGGGACAGCAAAATAACAAGCCTGGCGGAAGCCCTCCCTTTCCTTGCATTGCACCATCCTGGAAGGAATATCGAGTCAATATTGGCTGGATATGACAAGGTAATAGATCTGTCAATTCTTTTTTTTTAATAATTTTTTAATTTTTATCTTAGGATTATATTCATGTGGATATATAAGGAATACAACCTGTCTCGTTCGAACAAACAATATTGAGATACGTAAAACCACCTGGTGGTCCCTCCGATATTTTCACCAATCTTTTATAATTGATCTCAACTGCCTCTCTATAAAACACGCAGGATGTTGACAACTTGTCATTCTGCTCTGTTTTATACATCCCCTCCCTTGGTCCGCCAATTCTCTCTCCTCTCTTAGCTTACTGTGTAAAAATGGTGGCCTATTCGATTTACT